GTATTTATCTCTCCTTTCGGCTAGAAAATCGTTATAGAGTATTCGACAAGTTTCCAATACTTTTACTAATTTTTCTTATCAGAAGTTTTTTTCTTAACCATTTTTCGGTCTAGTCTATAAGTCGAAAGTCAAGAAAAATGAGTAAAGAAAACAGCCAAGAAAAAGTAAAAATTCGAGGTCTGCTCACTTCCCGTATCGAAAAAAAACCCAGCATGGATATTCCTGCCTATGGATTTTTTAGTTTGGAAGGAGAGATGAAGACGGATATTCCCGTAGTTTTTCGGATTAGAGACCAAGAAGGGCAATGACTTAAACCCAAAATCCCCAAAAATTCCCTAGTCGATTTAGAAGGGTATTGGGCCAAAAGTTCTAATGGTAATTCTCGTTTGAGTTTTACGGCTACTAGTTATCAAATAATCAGCAATCACTGTAATTACTGCCGAACGGAAAAACTAGCCCACGAGAGCCTCTGCCCTTTTTTTGTTTCAGATAAGATTAATCAAGGAATAAGCCAACAAACGGCCGAAGAAAAAGAGGCTAACCAGTTAATTTCCCAAACTCTTTTTAGTCATTACACCGAGGACCACAAGTCGTGCCAGCCTAGCCAGTGTGAGATTTTAAGGGAGAAAGTTCGGAAATTAGCCCAAGAGAGAAACAGCCATGAATAGTCCCCGAGTTTACGAGTTAATTGGAGAAATCCGAGGCAAAACCCAAGAGAAGGTTTACCAAGGAAAACAGGCTGGGAGTGTTTATTATCGGTTAGAGTGTCGGATTGAGAACAAAGACGGGATAAAGGAGATTTTTGCTTTTCAGGAAACGATAAAAGATGGAGCAATTTGGCAGAGCATTCAGCAATGCCAATATGTCGACAAAAGATACTTATTTTTTTGTATTCGGAGACGAGGAAAATTTGCCTTGACTGATTGACAAGAATTAAACAAATAGCCATGAAAAGAAAACAACAATTAGCACGAATTAAAAACATTGAGAAAAAAATACGGCAGACTTGTAATGTTTGCTTTACGACTTACCAATTAATCGAGAACCATATCCGATTAAGAAGTAATCAGCAAGAACAATGCCTCGGCAAATGTTTGGAGAAATGGAATAAGAGCCTCCAAGAGCATTACGAAGAAAGAGCATTAATCCACATTGCCAAGCAAGAGAAGAAAAAAGACGAAGAGGGGGAGAAAATTTGACCTCCTTACCATGAAGACGAGAAATAATATGACCCAAAAATACGAAAGATACCTTAATTGGTTAAAAGACAAAAACCTATCCCCGAACAGCATTCGGGTTTATATGGATACTCTGACGAGATTTCCCGTCAAAATCACTACTCCCAATTTACGGGAATATTTTTTAGCCCAGGTGAAGTATTACGAGCCTGCTAGTTTAAAGTTAACCAAATATGCTCTGAATTCTTATATCAAGTTTAAGAAACTAAATATTGATTGAGAACGGATCAGCCGAATTATCCCCAGCAGCCAACGGAAATTTTTTGTTACGATTGACGAGAAAGAGTTAAGTCAGTTAAAAGCAGCCCAAGTCGAGAAAAGTCCAGAAGTTCACGAACGGAATAATTTAATGCTCGATTTTCTGTTTTATAGTGGAGTGCGAATTAATGAGCTAGTGAATATAAAGCATAGTCATTGAAAAGGGAAGCAATTAAAAATCCACGGCAAAGGCAACAAAGTTCGGTCGGTTTTGCTACCTCCTTTTTTGATTAGTCATTTTCGTCCTTATGCTGACGATTACTTATTTACTAGTCGACCAGGACAGCCCGTTAAAGCCGAATATATTCGGTGATTATTAAAGGCCCGAACCAAAGAAGCCAATATTAGGAAACGAATAACTCCTCACACTTTTAGACGAAGTTTTGCCACTCTGCTTCATAATAACGGGGCTCAATTAACGACTATTCAAAAGTTATTAGGCCACAGTAGCATTCACACTACTGAGACTTACATTCATAACGACTTCGATTACATTTACCAGGATTACAGCCGATTATGAAAGCAAGCAACCCCAGCATAAAAGCCATGAAGAACAACCATCGAGCAGATAATTTATGAGCACACCAATTATATCCGACTACACGGCAAGGACATGACCAGCCTTTTTAAACTCTTCGGAGCCATTGAGGGACTAATTTATACTTTTCCCAGCATCCAAACTATCCACAGCATTCCCGTGCTCCAAGTTAAAGAATTATACCAGAAATTATACCAAAAGAAAGAGCAAATAAACGGCCTAACTTATAAAATCGGTCGAGGAGGGGGGTGGAGTTATCAAGGACAAAAAATATCCTTACACCAATTAGATGCCTTGCTAATATTTCACTTATGAAAAAGAAAGAAATAAAAATGTTATACTTTTGGTCTTAACTTTATACTTCGGTCTTAACATTTAGCAGCCAAAAAGCAAGGTGAAAGTGTGGAACAATGTGGAACACAAAAAAAATGCTTATAAGGAAAACACTAACTAAAACACAAGCACTTTTTATTTTGGGTATAAAACACCACGAAGCAAAAAAGCTAAGCAAAAAGTAAACCGAGCAATCGAGAAAAGAGGCTATTATGGGCTACTCTTTTTTTAGTCTGCTTTCCTCTCTCTTTCTTCTCCTATATTCTTGTCGGTGAGGTTGGGCATTATATCATTTTCACCATTCGGAACTTTTATATTTCAAACCAGAAGGAGGGAGCAGGGATTTTCTTTTTCTTTCTCTCGTGTTTGGTTCGGTCTTTTTCTCTCGGCTGGTTCTAACTATTGGAACCTGCTTTTGGCTTATTAACTCCTTAATGGTGTGCTTGATTTCACTAATTCCTTGCTGCCATTCTCTCACCATCTCACTAATCTCATAATGAAACAGAACTCTTTCCAGTTTCTCCTGTTGGAGGTGTTCCCAAATTTGCTTAACTATTTTAGGTTCCTTGGGTTCCACTCTTTTTGGTTCCATGCTCTTCCTTGGTTTCGGTTCCACAAATTTAGGTTCCATATTTGGTTCCAGGGTTCCAGGTTCCATACTCACTTTTAATTTGTTTTCTTTCCTCTTGTTGGCTTCTCATATCCTTTTATAGGCTCGTTGTTTGTTCTTGTCCTTGTAAGGCATAATATATTTTATTTATACTGGTTCCATGATATTTGGGTTTCATGGGTTCCATATTATAATTATATTAAAGGTTCCATGAAAGGAATTGAATTATGAGAAAATTAAATAGCAAATGAACCAACCATAAAAGGCTATTCAAAAGCCAGTCAAGCAATAAGAAATTTCACCAATGTATTTATACTATGGATTGGTCGGTCTTTCTCTGAAAATGCCAAGGTCCAAAAGGCTGTAATAATTACCGAGAGGGACAGAAGAAAGAGGAGAACATTAAGCAATTAAGAAAGTGGGGATTTAACGAATAATTAATCTCTATTTCTCGCATGTGTGTATAAATGCCTTTTTCCTTATTCTTTTGCTTATTTACTGCTTATGTTTTTTAGTTTGTGATGTTTTATATGCGAAGTAAAAAAGTGCTTGCGTTTGCCTTATAGTTTTGGCTATAAAAGTTTAAGACTTTAAGATACAAGATATTTGTTTCATTAACACTGCTTCTTAATTTGTTCCGTTCTGGCTTGTGGTGTGGGTATTACTGGATTTTTGGTAATGCCTTGACTATTGCGTCATTTAGCGGTATTGCGGCGGTTGGCTTCTCTTTGCTTCGCTTTGTCTTTGTAGGGCATAGGGTATCACTTATTATTATTTTGGGTGATACCTTTTTGTGATACCAAAAAACCTATCCCATAGAGGGATTAAAGCAGATAAAAAAACCAAGAATTCGGGGGTCCAGGGGGGTCCGCAATAGCAGGTGGGAAATAGCCTATTTGCTTATGGAAATGCTTACTTTTTTTATTTCATTAGTATTTCATAGTGAGTAAAAAAATATTTGTTTTTAATAATACTTTGGTCTAGGAAAAAGGGCATAAAAAGAGGGGGCAAAAGTAGGGGTTTTGGTTCTCGTGTGCGGGGGTGATAACATGGGGGAGGTTTGGTTTTATCTTTTGTCCGTTTAGCGTTATGGTTTATACATAGAAAACACAAACCCACCACCCCTTCCCGTCGTGGAGCAAAACTAAAATCACATCACTGGATTTTCCTTTTAGACCAAAAAAGCAGCTTACGCAATAGGGAAAGTTTTATATAACAATGTTATAATTTCTATGTTATAATTTTGGTCTTAACTTTTTATATCTCTGACATAAGCACTTCGGTAAGCAAAATGTTTTTTAAGGAGAAATATAAGGGTGAGAAAAAACCCGAAGAGAAAGGCCAGGGGAAGTATTAGGAAAAAGGCTATTTTGGGCTGCCTCTTTTCCGGTCGGTTTGTTTATCCTTTGGCTTTAATATTCTATCTCTCTAATGCCTCTCTCACAATTGGCACACTGGCTTTTAAATAGTCGGCTCAGGGTTTTTTGCTGCTGACATTTTTGACAAGGGGCTAATCAGACATAAAGGCCTCACAAAATATTGCCGATTACTCCTAAAATGGTGCTAATAATTAAGGCTACTATTTTCTCCTGTTCAGTCATATTAAGACCATTATTCGGCTCTCGGAGTGGTTCTCGGGTCAAAAAAAGGCTAAAATAAAATCCTAATATATTAAAGGAATAAAAATAATAATAAAAAATTAATGGTTATGGAAGGTCAAAATCAGCAAAAAAAAAAAAAAACAATTGTCAGTTATGCCGAAAGATAGCCGACTTGTTATACGACTACACTAGTGTAGAGGGAGAAAAGACGGAGAATATTTGTCAAGATTGTTGCAGCAAGATAGCCGAGAAAGAAGAGGAGGAAAAAAAATGACAAGAATTAGGGGAAAAGTATGGTTCAGATTATCACCAATTAGAAACTTTGCAGCAAGAAGGAAGAAAAAAAGCCGATAATAATTGGAAAGATAAAAGGGACAAGGAATACCAACGAAGGAAAATTTGTCGTTATTGTGTTCGAGAATTTCCGTGGGATAAAAATTTAGACTTTTTACCAGCCAAGCAAAAGGCCGAAAGAGAGTTAGAAAATCACGAGCACATTTGTCCAAAAAAAAATGATAAATCCGGTCGACAAAAATTAAAGCAAGAAAAATGAGAAAGAGGCAGAAAAACAAAAACAAGTTTTTTTTACCCTTGTGCGAAATGTTGAGGGAAAATTAGATGAGATAAAAAAATTAAGAGTGTGAAAGCAGCCAAAAAGCAAGCCTGGGCCGATTTAGCCTATCACGAAAAAGAAGAA